GAGTACATGTCCCACTAGAGCCGCGCGCCACATGCAGACACCGGGCCTACTTTACGTTTGTTTACAGCTACGCTCGCGCAATCGTCTCTGTTCTACGCTTCAATTGTAAATCGATTTGCACCACATTTTTCCGACGCCCTCGATAACTCGAAACTATCGCTGAACGCTTGCCTCACGCCGCTTCAATATTTCAAGCCGAAAGACACTGATGTAAATAATATGAAATGACGTAGAACCTAATTAAGGAACCATGTTACTTTCAGTATCTCTTAAAACATAGACTTACCATTATTTTCTCAACCTGGCTAGAATTTGAAATAGCAAAGGATGTCTGCTCGAGGGCAAACATATGTTTCATACATTCTTAACAAATGAGTGTTGATGTGTTGGCTGTCACGCGTCGCTTCTCTCATCTCGTATCTGATCTGCAATGTTTCATCACGGAGATAATGTCTTCTGACAGGCGCCATCCGACCAGTGCTGTCGGGGCGGCGCTCCTGTGCCTCTGCTCTGTGCCTCGAGCCCGTGCCCTGTGATCATTGACACGTGTCTGTCCACGCCCGCCATCTCACTACACGATCGCCGACCGCTAATGCCCGACTCATCTACGCCCAACACACAGCAGCTCCTGTTTTCATGCCCTAGTTATAGAGATATGTACAACATCTAACTTTTTATACGTCAATAAATACAGATGTTTAAGCCGACTTAGAGCTATCAAGATAAGCTACTTTTTTCTATTCTCATTTCAGCATAAGCTTCTGCATGATATAATGTAAGTATGTGTATCCCATAAAGATTTGTAACATGCCGTTATATTACAGTATTTGTGTGACACTGGTAACGCGTTTCCGCGCTATTCCTGAACAAGGTTCACAATTGTTGCCAGGAGGTCAGAGTGTGGACAGGAGGCAGAAGGCAGGGAGCCACGTGCTCGCCCACAGTCAGTGACGTGCAGCTGTTTGTTGTCTCGGTGAGATGAAAGCGGCGGCGGCCACTCTGCGCTTCTTTGCTGCTCTACTGTTTTATTGTCTAATTTTCTTTGATGTTTCTTTGAATTGATGATGTGATTACAATGTCTAGAGGCGCAACATAACTCCACTCGGAGTGACGTTCAATAGACTTCTGCTTCTCGCGAATATTTTGAGATTGAAATTATCTTAGAACTGAGATTGTATCATATCCTTATTTCAATATGTAATTCCAACATATAATCGAGTAAAAATTAAACAAACAATAAATTCTTTAAACAAAAACGAGTGTCGACAGATAATCGAAAATGTATCATACTCCTGCGATTTACTTATTCGTCCTCCGCCCCGAGGTGCGCGTCATCGCCACGTTCATTGTCGCAGACCTCGCATTCCCTTTTGTTGACGAACGAAAAACAGATGGCTCGTGCTGCGTTCCAGAAGAACACATAAATTACATAATACTTGTATGTGAAGCTCAAATTATTATGTGTATATGTATACTGTGGTTACTATGAATTTGTAGGGCTGTAGATCGCATAAGTAGGATTTTTATAATATCATTGTGCGGCTTTGCGCAGGCTCGGCAGGTGGCACCGGCGGTTCAGGGGGCCAGGCGAGGGGTGCAGGGGGCGCGGCGCCAGAGTTCGCGCGCGGGCAGCGCCGGTGGGTGCGCGCGCGGCCCGGCGCCGCCGCCGCGCTGCGCTGCCGCGTGCTGCGCCTCGCCGACAGAGCGGTACACATCGCGTCTTACGGCATGCCCCTCCCTCACTACTGCAGCGTTGCTTATATTTATATTTCAAAGGACTTATAATTGTCTTATGTATAAAACTACTGCTACGACATGTCTCTCTCGAAATAGCAAAGTTTTATAATCATGAACCCCCATCATTTTTGCCACTTTTGCCACTTTTCCTAACTAAAAAATTATACCTAAATGGATTTTTGCCGAGTTTTCTTATTTATCATGGCCGTCGGCTGCAGGTGTCGTGGATCCGCTCCAGCGACCTGCAAATCCTGACGCACGCGGGCGCCGTCTTCACCGCGGACTCGCGGGTGTCCGCCATCACTGGTGCGGCGGCGGAGCGTGGCGCCGGCGACAGCGCCCGCGACCAGCCGCCGCCCGGCGCCGATGATTATACCGACGACTACGCCGAGGAGCCCTGGGCCGCGGGGCAGGAACCGACGGGGGACGCGGGTGGACAGGGGGAGGAGACGGTGCACACGCTATACATCGAGAGGCTGCGCGCCGCCGACTCCGGCCGCTACGAGTGCCAGATCAACACCGAACCCAAAATGAGCCTCTTCTTCAACCTAACCGTTTCCGGTGAGAAATACTGCGAGGCGCAATCCGGGTGCCTCGGCAGCGGCGCCCCGGCCGCACGGATCCTCTAGATTTCCATGTCTTCCCTTCCTGCGTCTACTTCCATCCGTTTCGTGCATACGAGGAGGAGACCGAAATAGTAGGACGCTGGGGTTTTCAAGAGTAGTGTGGGGTTTAGTAAGCTATCGCGTACCATTTTTCGACCACATCAACACTAAACATCTGGTGGGATCGTGGTCGCCGGCTCATTCGATAGAGAAACAATGCGAACAGAGTATAGATGTGCGTGCGCGTGTGTTGTGCGCAGAGGTGCGGGGCGGCGGCGTGTCGGTGCGCGCGCTGGGCCCGCGCGCGGTGCGAAGCGCGGCGGGCGGCGCGGCGGCGCTGGCGTGCGAGGCGCGCTACTTGCGCCCCGAGCCGGACCTGCCGCCTCTCAGGATCCGCTGGTACCACGCCGGCCGCTTGCTGGACGACCAGGTGCCTACCTACCTACCTATATGAGCCCTGATTATCTTTATAGTGCCAAAATTACCGAGACGAGCATTGAAAAAATAACTAAAAAGCCATACAACATAAGAAATGTCCTAAAAAACTTTAAAGAATACGTCATGTTAATGGTTCGCAAAAGAAACTTGAATGTAGCAGCTGTACGAGCGGAGCGGTGAGAGTGAAGTGAGCCGCGATGTGTGCGCAGAGTCCGCCGGGCGGCGTGGCGCTGTCGGCGGAGCGCTGGGCGGGAGGGGCGCGCTCGCGGCTGTCGCTGGGCGCAGTGCGGCGCCGGCACGCGGGCGAGTGGACGTGTCGCGCGGGCGACGCCGCAGACACGCTCACGCTCGCACTGGCGCCGCGCGGCCCCGCAGGTCAGCCCCCTGCCCTACACCACTGACACCTTGCGAAAACGATACAAGTTTTCCTTGGCCTTGCATCTCTCTTATCACATGTAACACGACTTTCTTACGTGGCTATTAGCCATTTAGCTATGCCTATTTTTCTTTATTATGGCTGATTTTTCTAAGAAATAATAATCAATTTATGTGCAGGTACTCGTATCTTTTGAGTAAGCTTCTTTGCTCTCGTGTGTCATAAGAAGTGAACGTATTCATGTTTGTTATGTGTAGATGAGATGGAGGCCATGCAGCACGACCAAGCGGAGGGCCGCGTCAGTAGCGCCGCGCCGCTCGTCGCCCCGCTCGCCGCTCCGCTCGCCGCCGCGCTGCTGGCAATGCTGGTCACGTGACGTCACGCCTGTCTCCGTATAAAACATCTTCTGTATATTTAGCCGTGTATATAATGTAATTTATTATGTTGTTAAGCCAATGTAAATAAACGTCTATAATAAGTACGAAAATATTATTAAAACATTACTTTTTATTTTTTTGAAATTAAGGAGGTTTTTTTTAAAGTCTATGCCGTTTTACACGTTATTGACACCACATAAGTTCTTTTATTGAAATTAAAGAAGGAAGTCAAACTCAGTCCACATAGGCGCTTGCATGTAGGACGCAACAATTGTCTTCGCCAAATTGGCGCCCACTGAGGAGCGCGCGCCTGCCCGGCGCCGGCGCCCTCACTCCACTATACCATTTCTACGGTCGACCGTAAAAGTGGTACTCGTAAGTACATTGCGGCTTGTAAACGGCGAATTACTATATAAATTAAACTTTGGGCAAATTAGAGCATTTCACAGATAAGCCGATTACGACTTTGAATAGTATGTTTTATATCATTATAATTAATAAAATTTTATGTTGTTGAAAAATAATAATTACTTTTGTAATCCTAATATCTGTAAAATTAATTGAAAATAATCCGATAATTACGAAGAATCTTGGATTAAATATATTTTTATCTCAGCTCTGCCGTAAAAGGAAGTTGTGCGCGACAAGACAGATAACATATGAGTTGCGCGGCGCTTGCGGGAGGAGGAGGGGGGGGGGCTAGGTGTGACGCGATACCTATCTTATTACTTATAGTAATGCTGACAAACAGAGAAAGACAACACACTTTATTATTCGCAGGCGAAAAGGAAATATCCATTAATCTGATACTAAACTGTACCCAGGTGTTGACTGACATGTCGCAATGTACTGAAACCCCTCTCTACTAATTATAACAGGGCCAGTCACATCATAACGTGACTAGACATCCCGTTATGATGTGACTGGCCCTTTTTATAGTTTCGAGACCCGGCGCGGCATTTCCGGAAAGAATTCTGAGACGCCAAATTGTCCCGTTTTTTTTTAATTTAAATTTGAACAATAGAACGCGAGCGGTATGCGAGAGTGAGACCGGTCGGTCAATCGACATCGGTCAACACAATTTAAATTTCAGTTCTAAAGGCGATGTTGGTTCTCGAATATAAAAAAAATGTATCCGGAGTTTCAATTTTTTTAATTGTTCCGTACTTCATAGGAGAAAAAAAAACGGAACCCTAATCTAATAAGATCACTTTGCCTTCCGTCTGTCTCTCTGTCAAGGCCCTTTTTCTCGAAAACGCGTGAAGGTATCAAACTGGAATTTATTATAATACTTAAAGTCATCACTAACTATTATTCATAATCAGGTTAAAGTTAAGTTGTTCCTCTGATAAATATAACTTAAAGTTTCGGCTACATGTATGTATGTATTTTATAATTTGCAACTTTTAACTTTACTGTTTTTTTTTTATAAGTGCCCTAAATAATAAACCATTTTTTATTTCCCAAGTCCAAGTCAGTCATTTTGAGTCAAAAATAAATGGTCACATTACACAAGTGTTCAAATACACTTCAGCTTCGCCTTGGTAACAACCACATATATTTTAAAACTCGCGAAAGGTCTGTTTTTTTTAATTCTTCGAATGTTATTTGCAACAACATGTACACAATGTCAATATGAATGAATATGCCGGTTAGTTGTTCTCCGAGAAGCGCTACTCCAATGACATTTTTTGTGTCGACTGCCGTGTGTGAACTTTCTTATAGATATTGTAGTTTCTATCAAAATGATTAATTTATTTTTTTAGTATTATAAGATTCAAGGTGTGGTGATTGCTCCACCGTGACCACGCCCATTAACGTTCCATAGGGTGGTAATCTTCACAGCTAATAATCCTTAATGTAACCTGACATTGTAAATATGCACACATAGCACGCATGCAACATATATCCCACTTACATATATCCACAACGCAAACATATATACACGACATCGTCAGTACAACGATAGTTAGAGATTGAGGTTCAAATAGAAGATTGCATGGGATAGATAAAAACATAATTAGTAGATAGCCTGTGTGTTCTTCCAGACTGTTTTATATGTATGACACATGTCATCAAAATCCGTTTAGCCGTTACTTACTTACTTTTACTGCTATCTATTACATGGTTACCAACGTTGCTAATGTAAAGAACGTCTGCAGAAGATCGAGAAAAACCAACGTATACTAGAATTCTGCTCCGTTTTATTACTGACGTGCTTTAAAAAGTGTTATATTTAATCACTAAATGATAAATAAATAATATAAGAAAGTAATTATCAAAAATCGGTTTAATGAGCATGATTTTCACAATGTATCGTCAGTTGAAACGTTGGAGGCGGAGTGGCGCGGGTGGCATCTCACAGTCGCGACTGGATCCAGGGCGTGAAGGAAGTGACGCGCGCGTAACCGCCCGGGAAGCCCACGCGGCAGCCCATCGCTGAGTGGAACGAAACCACGCCGATCTGCAACACGACACGATACGTCACAATTCACTTAACTAGACCTTTCAAACTTTTGTTTCTAAGTAGCTACGTAAAGACGGATAAATAATTCCTCGTACGTTTGATGGAAAGGAGAAGAGGCCCAATTTTAGTCATCTTTCTTTGTCCCCACTTTTATAATAAGAAGGGGATATAAAGGGAAAGTGAAGACAAATTGCGGCAGAGGTATAGAAAAGAGAAATATTCTTTTCTGCACTTCTGTCTTTTTAGCGTATCTTCAACTTTTTTTTTTTTATTTTATTTTATTTTTTTTTACTTGTGGCTTTAGCGACATCTAGTGTTTGGTCCTTAACTTGTTACCTTGTAATTAATAAAAAACATGCATATAAACAATAGTAAAATGAAGTTATCGGGACAAAAGCTCTAGACATTTGTCTCAAATATGTAGGTTATTAAGAGAATAATATTTGACGCACCAGCACACGCTGGCCGCCGAAGTTGAGCGCGAGCGGGCCGCCGGAGTCCCCGCCGCAGGGGCCCACGTTGCCCTGCCCGCTGGTGCACAACGTGGACGCGATCACGTTAAAGCCGTACGCCTGCGCGCACGCCTCGTTGCGGATCACCTCGAGATTGCGTCTGCGCGCCACCTGCCCTGTCGTTATGTTCTCCGCTGCGAACACACACACACAATACAACAAATCACAAAGTGGTTATAAGGTTTGTTTGAAGTTTTCGCGTTTTTTTTTCCGTATCAACTTACAGTCGTTGGTGACGCCGTAGCCGATCACCTGCGCCATGTAGCCGGCGAAGTTCAGTATCTGCATCGCTTGGTTCGGCAGGTTGATGGCTCTTATGTTATCTTGAAACATATAATAATACATTACGAACAGACTCAGTGACTTCACACCGAGGCGAGTTTAGAAGATTTAAGCACGGACCAAGTCCGTGACGAGACCCGGCCGCTCTAAACCCTGCTGAGGAAGCACTCACTATTATAATTGACGCGCGGGATGACGACAACGGCGATATCGTTGTTGAGGTTGTTGACGTTGTAATTCTGATGCATGTTGATGTTGGAGGTGACGAGCCGCGTGCCGCCGCTGAACAGTCGCACGGATCCGAGCACAGCGGTCATCTGCCGGCCCTGGTTTCTGCGATCGCGCCAGCAGTGCGCCGCGGTCACCAACCGCGTGTTGCTCACCAGCGACGCGCCGCACACCGACGTATCACCCGTTGTCAGCAGCACCAATAGTCCCACCTGCGCACCACCCCACCGCTCTCCTTGTATCATGATCGTTTACGGTGAATATACAAAACGATGCGTTAGAAACGAAATGTTCCGGGCCAGTACTGGCCGCGCGCCGTACCAAGTAGGGGTGAGCGCCGAGATTAACGGTGGAGCCGCCGGCCACACGGCCCCCGTCGAAGTCCATGGCCTCCTCGGCATGCCGGATGCGAATCGCTTCTGGCACGCCCACGGTGGCGTGGTAGTCCAGTGTGATGGGCGAGGGCCCCAAGGGCTCTCCCGCCGTGAACACTGCTAGACCGACCAAAAGTATCGTCGCCCACATCCTATATGTATATGTCTAGATTACCGTTCTTTGCCGATTTATACAATACCGTGATATCTTATCGATCCTAATGTCAGAAGATTTCATTTGGACTTTATCTTTAAAAAAAAATATTTAGTTAAGTATTTAATCTGCCTTGATAACGAAAGAAGAAATCTAATAAATTATTTATAACTAGCGGACCCGACAGACGTTGTCCTGTCTACACGTCTTTAATTTGAATAAATTAATACGAAGTTAATATTTGATGAAAATTGTGATTCTAAACCATTCCCAGATCTCCTTGAATACACACAAAAAATCATCAAAATCGGTCCAGTCGTTTGAGAGAAGTTCAGTGACATACACACTCACAGAAGAAGTTATATATATATAAAGATAATAATAATAAGCCTTTATTTGTCATGACATATTATAATACACAAGTACATCGTTGGAACTTGCGACAATCAGCTTTTTTTTTTGTTTCTAGTATTATAGTCCCTTGTTGATTAGGGTCTGAAAGTAATTTGACGAGCGATAACGCAAAAGTAACAGGTCCCTCATAGCAGAAGTGAGAAAATTCAAGTTAAGTTAGTCAATTCAAATAAAAAAAAAACAAAATCTGAAATGGTGGTACCCCTATGATCTTCAGTTCTACATCCCCACCTTAGACTTTTAGCGTCAAAATCTCCCGCTTATATTATGTTCTTGTTCTCCAGTTTATCTATGCTTCTAGATATTACTTATGTCCATATCATATTCGATTTGTCCCACCCGAGAGTACACCCTGCCTGGAGTATATTATTATCGTCATTCATATTATTCGCAAGGCCCAAACAGCAGTCTTCCTGAGCGATTTGATACTATATATATATATATTATAAATAACGCAGGTCTATAACATAATCATCAAAACATCACATTCATCTGACGCCATCTGTCTTTTGGATTGCAAAGCATTCGAGCGACTTCTTAACCAAAGAGTATAATAAGTATACTATAGAAAGAGGGGCAACTCGCACGAAGTCGTGGATCCACGGCGATTGTGGCGCTCCATGCGTATAATCGCTGAACTATTTTTTTTTTTTTTGGTACCTATATACGTAGGCACGCTTATTTAGCTCACTATAATAATAACTAATAAGTGGGAATCTAATAAAGTTAAAATTGACATTAAATCAATGTTCAAAAATAATATACCCACTTATGTAGTTATTAATATAGTGAGCCGATATCAAGTAGCCTTCTATGAAATACCTCTATTAAAATGATCCTATTATTATTGGGGAAATAAAAACAAAATATTTTTATATTTTTGTACATTATTTATTATATTTCTATATAACTTAATTTTAAATCTATGCATGTACATATACATCAATGACTTTCAAGATATCAGCTCAATATTTTAATTTTTAATATATATATTTGAAAATTACATTTACGGTAATAAATAGTATAGCGCGGTCACAAAAGAATGCATACCCTGTAATTAAAACCAAACCCCAAAATATTTTCAGTCATATGCAAGATGGCAACTGGCAATTTGTAGTTATTTGCGAGTTTAAACACTCTGAACATATTCTCTTACAACATAGGCAAGCAAATTTTTCTTTACAATAAAAAATTACAAATAAAAAAATATATTTTTTACATATACACACATGGACCCACCTACTAATTTCAGACACATCAGTTTATGGCTCTATAATTCCAGTGATTGGCACACATTTTCTGAACATCACTGACCGTCTCTCAGGAAGGGGGAAACCGTGTATATGTGCACCTACAACAAACAAACAGAATGTGATTTCCTATCAAGTATAGGAACTGATATGTAAAATGTATTAGAAGTAAGGCACCATTCAATATGATAAGGAAAAATCACTGTGGTGCTAAAAACTACACCAAAATACGAAAATATTTAAATGTTTAAATGAGTCTGACGTATGTGAAAAACATGAAATTTTTTATTGAATTGTAACTTACCATAATCAGTCCATCTAAAACACAGTTGCGTACAGCGTCATTTTTCACGAAAACACATTTTAATTAAAAACAAAATGAATGAAACAACATTTAACTAAGAATACAAGAACAGAAATAGAAATACGAAAAAACGTAGCGGTTTGATGACACATGAATGTCTCGATGACACAAAGTAGAGATGAAATGATGTTTACCAAGATTTAAAAGATGGCGCCACTTTCCATACAAATCGTCCTTCTTCAAAGTTTCCACCCCCTGTTCTTAACTTCACTAATTGATGAAACGATATTCAACATTGTTGGACGTATTTGTTGTCTATATGGATGACAAATAATTAGAGAGATTATTAAAAAATAATTGAAGCATATTTAAGTATACCACAAAAGTTTGCGAGAGAATATTCGTAATTACATATTGAATATTCAACTCAGCGTGGCTACTCACAGAACCATCTGTCGCAGAGTGGTGTCATCGGTGACATGTTTCGCGCCGAGTTGTTTGGAGTTTTGTCGCTAGGGTGCGTTGTTTTAGGACAGTGGTTCCCAAACTTATTTTGTCTACTGCCCACTTAGATTTTATATTAAAAAACCACTATAACTTCAAATTAAATTAATTAATTAATTATTGTTACCTATATACGTATATTAACGGAGAATTCTAAACGATTTTTTTTTTTTTTTTTTCCATCAACGGTTTCTGCCTTCGTGG